TTATTCACTGTATGAGCTTTCGTGTGCAGGCACACTTCCTCAGATACAAGGAAGGTGAGTCCATCTGTCCTTATATCACAAGGCTGATGGATTCCCATTCTGTACGGCTAAATGTGATGCCTTCCATGGAGGTAGATCAAGATGGGTAGCCGTGTTAGTCTGTCTATAGCAGCAGAGAAGAGTAAGAGTCCAGTAGCACCTTAAAGACTAACAGCATTTGTGGCAGGGTAGGAGCTTCCCCGAGTCACTGTTCACTTCTATAGATACAGCTAGAATGTGAGTCCATCTGTCCTATATACTGGAAGTGGAGTGATTTCAGTTGCTGAATGCCAATAGCAGGCAAATAAGAATAGCAGGCGTGACTGGACTAGGTGTGATATGCAGAGTAGTAGTAGGGTGTGGAGAAATCAGCATTGGTAATGAGACAGGAAACCAAGGTCTTGATTCAGTCCAGGTGGATGCACTGTCTTGTGCTTCATTGTCAGTTGTAATTCAGAAAGAGAGACTGCTGAATTGCAACTGATAATGAAGCTCAAGACAATGCACCCACCTGGACTGAATCGAGACCTGAGTTTGCTGTCTCATTACCAAGGATGATATTTCCACACCTGCTATCCCTCTGGATATTACACCTAATCCAATCACAACTGCTATTGTCATTCACCTGCTGTTGTCATTTGGCATCTGAAAATCACTCTACTCTCCTATTATAAAGATAGATGGACTCACACTCTTGCTGTATCTGAAGAAGTGAGCAGTGGCTCATGAAAGCTCCTACCCTGCCACAAATGTTGCTAGTCTTGAAGGTGCTCTGGGACTCTTGCTCTTTTCTACTGCTACAGACAGACTCACATGGCTACTCATCTTGACCCATCTCCACGGAAGGAACCACATTCAGCCGTACAGAATGGGAATCCATCTACCTTGTGATATAAGGACAGATGGACTCACATTCTAGCTGTATCTAAAGAAGTGAGCAGGGACTCACAAAACCTCATTCCCTACTACCAATTTTGTCAGTTTTTAAGGTGCTACTGGTCTCTTGCTCTTTTCTGCTGCTATGGACAGACAAAACACAGCTACCCGTCTTGATCTGTCTCCATGGAAGACGCCACATTTAGCTATACAGAATTGGAATCCATCAACCTTGTGATAGAAAGACAGATGGGACTCCCATTCTAGCTGTATCTGAAGAAGTGAGCCATGACTCACAAAAGCTTCTCCCTTGCCACCAATTTTGCTAGTCTTGAAGGTCCTACTTGACTCCTGCTCTTTTCTGCTGCCACAGACAGACGGACATGGCTAACTATCTGGATCCAGGTCAGGGACGTAAAACTACTTCATCTTGAGTGGCCCCATCGCTTTGCAATCAGCTGCTGCTTCTGGTTCTGGCCAGGAACTATTGTCGGTTCCAGCAGTGGCGGAATTCCAGCCCCCCTCTCCTATTTTGAGCTCTCGCAGATGTGCGCAGAGGTGGAGGATGTGGCTGGGGGAGGCGTTCAAAGCATGTTCCCTCGCACTTCCCCATCTCCTCCCCTCCAGTCCCAACGGCTCACGCTGGGGGGGAGGAGGAGGTAGCCGCAAACCACAGCGACAATCACACAACCTGATAAAAGAGCCGCATTTGGCAGGGATCCACGGCTAGGTCTTATCACTGGCCATTCAAGCAGCTCTGATCCAGCAGTCTAAACTAATGCGGGGGGGCGGGCGCAAGGTCTTGCAAAGAGATTTTGAAAGGGAAGTTGGTGCAAGGTTAGTTGACAAGAGGAGAGGATTTTGCAAAGTCCTTGGCGTGAAGCAGCTTGCCTTAACTGCAACACTTTATCAGTTAGAGATCTTCCAAAAAAAGAAGACAGATTCAGAGGATAGCTGTGCTGGTTTAGATTGGAGTGAGTCCAGTAGCACCTTGGAGACCAAAATCTCTATACTGAATCAGACCTTATATCAGACTAGTAATAAGGCTCGTTGTAGAAATAAGTACAATGAGCTCTAGAAAGAGGCTCTGGGAGAGTGCCCCGGGCTTGGGCACTCAGTGTCAGTTTGCTGTGGCGACCTCAGCAGGGTATAATGACACAGAGTCCACCATTTTCTCCAGGGGAACTGATCTCTGCCGTCTGGAGAGCAGTTGTAATTCTGACCCAGTTTGGTGTAGTGGTTAAGTGTGCTGACTCTAATCTGGGAGAGCCGGGTTTGATTCCCCACTCCTCCACTTGCACCTGGCTGGATGACCTTGGGCAAGCCTTAGCTCTGATAAGAGCTGTTCTTGAAAAAGAGCAGTTTCTGTCAGAGCTCTCTCAACTCCACCTACCTCACAGGGTGTCTGTTGCGGGGAGGGGAAGGGAAAGGAGCTTGTAAGCCACTCTGAGACACCTTTGGGTAGTGTGCACCTGGCTGGATGACCTTGGGCAAGCCTTAGCTCTGGTAAGAGCTGTTCTTGAAAAAGAGCAGTTTCTGTCAGAGCTCTCTCAACTCCACCTACCTCACAGGGTGTCTGTTGCGGGGAGGGGAAGGGAAAGGAGCTTGTAAGCCACTCTGAGACACCTTTGGGTAGTGAAGGGCGGGTTATAAATCCAATCTCCTCCTCCTGAGTGATCTCCAGCCCTCACCTGGAGATTGGCAACAATGGTTCCCCAGGAGGGAATGCCTGGTTTGGAGGGTGGAGTCTATGGCATTGTGCCTGTTTGAGGTCCCACCGCTCCTGAAACCTCAACGTCTCCAGGCTCCATTCCGCAAATCTCCAGGAATTTCCCACCTGGAGTTGGCAACTCTATCCCCTTCCCAGTCAATCATCAACCTACCTTTATTTCCCTCTCAGTCTTCAGCTTTCCATCTCCCCCCACGACCTGCAGCCTCTCCACAATTATATATAAGGAGAGATTATACTGAATCAGACCTTTGATCCATCAAGGTCAGTATTGTCTACTCAGACTGACAACGGTTTAAGGCAGTAGTTTTTCACATCACTTTCTACCTGGTCTTTTAAACTGGAGTTGCTGAGACCTTCTGAATGCCAAGCAGATCCTCTACCTCTGAGTCACTGAGGTCTTTCACATCGCCTACTGTCTCATCTTCTTAAATTGGATATAGAATAATAGAGTTGGGAGGGACCTCCAGGGTCATCTAGGCTGACCCCCTGCACAAGGCAGGAAATTCACAACTACCTCCCCCCTCCACATCCCCAGTGACCACTGCTCCATGCCCAGAAGATGACAAAGAACCTCCAGGATCCCCTGGCCTGGAGAAAAATTGTTTCCTAATCCCAAAGTGGTGATCGGCATTTCCCTGGGCGTGTAAGAGAGGGCCACGACAACTAAGCACTGATGCAACCCTTCCTGCCCTCCCTCTCGTGATCTGCCTCAGTTCACAGAATCCGCATTGTTGTCAGATGGCCATCTAGCCTCTGCTTGAAAACCTCCAAAGAAGGAGAGCCAACCACCTCCTGAGGAAGCCTGTTCCATGTAGGA